AAGCTTACCTCGTGGACCCTACCCGGAAGATAAGAAAGCGTAATATAAATCTACACACTACCATAACGTATTGCAGTGAGAGATATGGTAAGAAGTGGAAAATAAATCCAGTGAAAAGTAGGGGCACCAACATCCATGGTCCAAGACTCTTCAACTTTCCACGAACAGACATCAGAAACACTGCCGGAAGAAGTGTAGAAATCTTCAAGATTAAATTGAATCACTGCCTGCACAGAGTGCCAGATTAACCAGGTTGTGATGGCTATGCAGACCAACGGGCCGCCAGCACCAACAGCCTTGTTTAACAGACAGTCATCAGCAAACCCTTGTCCCTAAATCGAGCTGTGAGTATAAGAACTCTAGAAACGGGTAACAGGTATATCACAAGCGTGGAGTTCCACGAGTCTTGGCCTAGTTCCGAGTGCACAGTCATGTTGTCGATAGCTTTGCAGTTGAGTTATGCGAGAAAGTATGAAGGGAAATGTCGCCATTATTTTGAGTCGCCTTAATAAAAATTCCTTTACATTATCATTATTTAATTTGATTAATGGATGACTAAACACGGAGTCGTATTGTGACTTCAGTTTTTTCGCTTTATTTTTTGTGCTGTCATCAGTTTAGGTACCATCCCCTTCAAGCAAGTGTCCGATGTTCGATGTGGATTTTGCCCTCGATTTTGGTAATGAAACCAATCCCCTCAAGGAAGGTTCCTTGATGTTGGTGAGGGGCTCTTGATTTAGGGAATTGGATCTGTGCTCCAGTTCCCCGAATTAAGCCTGAATACCTTCCACATCCCCCCCCCCCCCCCAGGCGCTGTATAATCCTCCGGGTTTAGCGCTTCCCCCTTGATTATAACAATAATATGAAACCAATGTTGTCATTATTGTAATGGTTTCTTTTTCCCCGGTCTCTCCTAGGCTATATATACGCCTCTGTCTGACTTTTTTGGGTTATCCTAGGTTCTCTACACATATGCTGCTATGTATGATAATTCTATGTAACTGTATTGTGTATACCTGAATAAATTTACTTACTTACTTACGCAGTCACCTTGTGAGTACTAGATTTTCCGTTTCTCTAACCAGCGATTTGTTTTCGTTCTCCAGACAGTTTGAAATTATTGACGAGATCTGTGACTCTTCGTCTTACATGTAGCAGGAACATTTCTCACCTTCTAACCTGTCTTTCTTTTTTTTTTTCCTTAATACGTGTGGAGCACACTTCTGGTACCATCCCCCCCATCCTTGTGAAGCATTGGTTTAATTCATGTCTTCCCAGCATATTTCAGCCGTCATCATTCATTTGATCTCAGTTAAAATATTGCTGAATTTGTTGAATACCTTCCCATAACTTTACGTTGAGATCGGAGTTTGTTGTATTTGACACCGTTATGTTCCAGATTCTCATTATTTGTGAATGTAAGAGCAAGTGTATTTTCTACTCTTGGTCGTATTATACGAGGCTGCCCCTCAAAATTATCTCCTAGATTTTTCTGTTATTGCATCATTTACTACTATCTTCATTTTAGCTGTTTGAGATTGAAATCCCCAAGTAACAGTATGCTTAGAGACTGGTTTGAAAAATCTCCATTATGTTGTTCAGTTTTCAATAGTTGGTCCTAGAATTACTGCTGGTTTAAAATCAAGTATGTACTTTCACTAGATTCTCATATTTTAATTTTAGGTTAGGTAAGGTTTGTTAAGAAACAGGACAAGTGTTTCCAGAGGCGGGTCTTAGTCACATGATGGCCCTCAACTGGAGCGTTGGTCATCTGACCGAGACCTTCCACTGGCGTACCATTCCACCCCCTTAAAAAAACTAAGGTTATAATTTTAACCAACAAGGCTGCTTTTTATTTTTCAGTTTTTACTGCCCAGACCTATAACTACATAGTTTTGTGGTGTTAACCCAGGTCCCTTTCCCCCTTTGCTTATTATGTGTTGTAGATCACATCTACGTAGAGTATACTCTGGCATCCTTATTCCTTGATCACAGTGATCTTGTGTAGGTCTCTGTGAAAGCTACAAACACTGCATTTGACTCCATCAGTAGTCCTCTTAATAAACGATATATTGTTGTTGCGTCTTATCTAAGACCTTTGTGTATATGAAAAAAAATGAGATTATTTTTTTATTAACACATTGGCCCTTTCCCACCAAGGTAGAGTGGCCCGAAGAAGTTAAACTTTCATCATCATTCACTCCATCACTGTCTTACCAGAGGCGCGACTACACTACACTTATAAAACTGCAACGTTAACACCCCTCATTATTATTTTCTTTGATTTATACTACTTATACTACCACTAATACTGATACCACTAATGTTAATACTAATTCCACTATTACTTCTCATACTGCTAATAATAATACAAATACTACTACTACTACTACTACTACTACCACCAGTACTTTTACTAAGCCCCTCGAGGGAGGTTCCTTGATGCTGGTGAGGGGCTCTTGATCTAGGGAATTGGATCTGTGCTCCAGTTTCCAGGATTAAGCCTGAATACCTTCCCCCCCCCCCCAATAGGCGCTGTATAATCCTATGGGTTTAGCGTTTCCCCCATGATTTTAATAAGACTTCTGTTGCTAATAATACTATTAATACTGTCAATACTGCTGCTACTACTACTAATACTATTAATACTACTAATACTATTAATACTACTAATACTATTAATACTACTAATACTATTAATACTACTAATACTATTAATACTACTAATACTATTAATACTACTAATACTATTAATACTACTAATACTATTAATACTACTAATACTATTAATACTACTAATACTATTAATACTACTAATACTATTAATACTAACACTATTAATACTACTAACACTATTAATACTACTAACACTATTAATACTACTAACACTATTAATACTACTAACACTATTAATACTAATACTATTAATACTACTAACACTATTAATACTACTACTATTAATACTACTATTACTATTATTACTATTACTACTATTACTACTATTACTATTAGTACTATTACTATTAGTACTATTACTATTACTATTACTACTATTATTACTATTACTACTATTACTATTACTATTATTACTATTACTATTATTACTATTATTACTATTACTATTACTATTACTATTATTACTATTACTACTATTACTATTATTACTATTACTATTACTACTATTACTATATTACTATTACTACTACTATTACTATTATTACTACTACTACTATTACTAATATTACTACCAATAATATTTCTATTATTACTAATAGTACTACTAATAATAAATACTATAAGTGTTCAGATTTATTAAATGCCACACTAGGATGTAGGACATTTTTTCTACACTAGGATGTAGGACATTTTTGCTACACTAGGATGTAGGACATTTTTGCTACACTAGGATGTAGGACATTTTTGCTACACTAGGATGTAGGACATTTTTGCTACACTAGGATGTAGGACATTTTTGCTACACTAGGATGTAGGACATTTTTGCTACACTAGGATGTAGGACATTTTTGCTACACTAGGATGTAGGACATTTTTGCTACACTAGGATGTAGGACATTTTTGCTACACTAGGATGTAGGACATTTTTGCTACACTAGGATGTAGGACATTTTTGCTACACTAGGTTGTAGGACATTTTTGCTACACTAGGATGTAGGACATTTTTGCTACACTAGGATGTAGGACATTTTTGCTACACTAGGTTGTAGGACATTTTTGCTACACTAGGTTGTAGGACATTTTTGCTACACTAGGTTGTAGGACATTTTTGCTACACTAGGTTGTAGGACATTTTTGCTACACTAGGTTGTAGGACATTTTTGCTACACTAGGTTGTAGGACATTTTTGCTACACTAGGTTGTAGGACATTTTTGCTACACTAGGTTGTAGGACATTTTTGCTACACTAGGTTGTAGGACATTTTTGCTACACTAGGTTGTAGGACATTTTTGCTACACTAGGTTGTAGGACATTTTTGCTACACTAGGATGTAGGACATTTTTGCTACACTAGGTTGTAGGACATTTTTGCTACACTAGGTTGTAGGACATTTTTGCTACACTAGGTTGTAGGACATTTTTGCTACACTAGGTTGTAGGACATTTTTGCTACACTAGGATGTAGGACATTTTTGCTACACTAGGTTGTAGGACATTTTTGCTACACTAGGATGTAGGACATTTTTGCTACACTAGGATGTAGGACATTTTTGCTACACTAGGATGTAGGACATTTTTGCTACACTGGGATGTAGGACATTTTTGCTACACTAGGATGTAGGACATTTTTGCTACACTAGGATGTAGGACATTTTTGCTACACTAGGTTGTAGGACATTTTTGCTACACTAGGATGTAGGACATTTTTGCTACACTGGGATGTAGGACATTTTTGCTACACTAGGTTGTAGGACATTTTTGCTACACTGGGATGTAGGACATTTTTGCTACACTAGGATGTAGGACATTTTTGCTACACTAATGGTGTGTGTCCACGTTTGTGTATACAAATATGTAATAAAAAATAAATACATCTGCATTATTACTATTCTAAGGAAGCGTTAAACTCGTATGGATAAGTGCAGTTAGATAAATTATAATTCATATCAACATGTGTGTAAATGACGTAGGATAACCCAAAAAATGGTCAGTGAATTGCATTGGGGGTTCTCATGCGGTATATACCTGGAGGATATTCCGGGGGTCAACGCCCCCCGGCCCAGTCCATAACCAGGCCTCTAGGTGGATCAGGACCTGATCAATCAGGCTGTTACTGCTGACCGCATGTAAACCGACGTACGAACCACAACCTGGCTGGTACAGTAATGGCAATGAGGTAATTATTGAGGTCTGTCCTTAGGTTGGAATGTAGGCGCAGAACTCTTTTGAAAATGGGTACAGGTATATAGAATTATGTACTCGGGCAAAGTTGGTGGTGGTGTGGTAAATCGTGTTCCATCAGCTTATTGTATTTATATTTGCAGGTGGTACGTAGCAGTGATGAGACGTTGAAGAAGAGCAGTGAAGTCACTGAAAGAGCGAATCAGTAGTGAACTGTATCGACTCCTTCCCAGAACCTCGACTTCCGGGCAGACCGTTTGCACCGCCTGCACCACCACCTGCAACAGCTGGTGATACCTTCATCACTTGCTATGATAAGTGATAACTGTTATCTGTCAGGGCCATGATAAACACACACACGCGCATTCAGTGAGAAAAGTTAACTAGGTTTCCCAGTTATATTGCTCCTTCCTTATGAGTAGTTTGACTTGGACCTGCCTAGCATGGGCCAATAGGCCTGCTAAAGTGCAGCCTACTAGGCAACACACATGAGGTAATATTCTGTGTGATAGATACATAGTATTTCCACTAGCTAGCTAGGTTTCCCTGTCATATTTCATCACATTGGATGAGTTACATACACGAGGCAATGAAATCAACTTGAGCTGGGAGACTTTAGTGATGATAGGAGGATTAGAACCATGTTCTCTGAAGGATGAGTGAGGATGTTATAGTTCTGGAGGTGGGAAGTACAGTACCTGCACTCTGAAGGATGAGTGATGATGTTAGTTCTGGAGGTGGGAAGTACAGTACCTGCACTCTGAAGGATGAGTGAGGATGTTACAGTTCTGGAGGTGGGAAGTACAGTACCTGCACTCTGAAGGATGAGTGAGGATGTTACGGTTCTGGAGGTGGGAAGTACAGTACCTGCACTCTGAAGGATGAGTGAGGATGTTACAGTTCTGGAGGTGGGAAGTACAGTACCTGCACTCTGAAGGATGGATGATGTGGTTCAGGTGATCATTTAAATCGTAACATCCGCATGCTTCTGCCAAGTCATCCTGAGAATGAGTGATGGTGAATATTTCTCTCTTTGAGTCACAATTTTGGTATATTTACTTGAAGATATGCACAGGCTGATATATTTCCATTCATGCTATGTTAGAAAAAAATGGCCCAAGCTTTGTGTAACTTACATCTAAGTTATTGAATAACTACAAGACAAAATTAGGGTACCTCATGAAAGAAAGATTGAGAGATGAATGTGCTGTGAGATAAATAGATTATTGAATAAGGAATAATTTGATTGCAAACCATAGAATTTTAGGTCACACTGACCTGTGAGTTTTAGAATTCTCTTGCCATGTGTTCGAGTCCCCAATCTTTTTGATTTCACAAGTAATAAGACTTGAGGGATGGGTAGGGATCAGGGGTGAATCTACTATGAATGAAGCTTAAGCTTTAAGGACCCCTAATCTCAAAGGGGCCCCAGAAGCGACTTTAGCCCACATTGAGTAAAAAATTTTGGGTCTAATGTATGATAAGGGGTTGTGAAGGGGCCCCCATAAGCTCATGCTTTAGGGCCCCCATAAGTTCAAGCTTTAGGGCCCCGAAAATGTAGGTCCACCACTGGTAAGGATTGAACTCAAGGGTATGGAAGCTGACACACAAATGCAGTGTGAAATGACCCTTTGTTGACAATGTTTTGCCTGTGCACTGGGTTCCCCCCCCCCCCTTCTCCCGAGTTGCAAATGTTGAAAAGCTCACTGCTTGGACAAAACGTCAATATTGATCTTTTTATACTGCATTTCTGTCTGTGTTTGTCATGATGGTATTTTATACTCTCTCTCCAAACCAATGGCACTTTTAAACCCATGGCAAGACAGCCCTGAAGCCACTTATATTCAGAGTAAACCCTGAAGCCACTTATATTCAGAGTAAACCCTGAAGCCACTTATATTCAGAGTAAACCAGCAGATGATCTCACACTGTAGAACTAATTTTAATGGCTCTGGGGGAATATGTTTGTTATAGTCACACAAAAATAACACAATGTAGATTTAGTTCCATATAACCTACTAGAGCATAAAACTAAACTTTTGATATACAGTATTTTCAAATGTCTGAAAAAGTGAATTTTTTTTAGGCCTGAAAAAAAAATGGGGCTGGAGCTTGCTTCCTCAGTTCCCATTGTAATAGATCCCTGGCTATACTTTATTTATCCTGACTGCAGCAATGTAATAGATAGTTGGAGTAGATAACAAGTAGACAAAACCTCGTAATAAATGACATTTATTGGCCATTTCTTATAGACTCCTCTGAATAGTATGATTTTTTGGTTAATGTGATTGGAAAGGTACATCGAAAATTAAAAGGCTCATGGAAAGGCCTTCATAGTACTTGCTGTTAAGTTGTATATGCACTTTTTCAGTCGTATTTAAAAAAAAAAGGTCTTTATTCTATGACTTGTAAGATACAGATCTTTCCATTTAAGCAAATTTTATACATTAGAGTGCATGTAACAATTGCCTCGCTTGTTAATATATTTTTTTTTCCACAGGCGAGGGATTTCGGTAATAAGGCATGAAGGAAGAAGCCAGGTGCCCAGACTTCCAGAGAGCCTGTCCTCCATTCCCTGAGACCCTTTCTTGTGAAGGAAGGAATTCACAAGCAAGGTGCTCAGGCATGGGTGGCAGTGCTGCTTCCTCAGTGGGCCTTAATCCTGAGCACTTAGCACAACTCCAGGTTATCCTGGATACTGGTCGACTCCACAAAGTTGACCCCAAACCGCCAGGAAACCGGTTAATGCCACGAGGACCACCACAAATTATCCAGGACACAAGTTAACTCCACGAGGACCTCATGTCATCCAGGATGCAAGTTAACTTTGCAAGGACAAGCAAGGGCCCTGAAGGATATATGTTAACCTCGCATAACATTCCTCCTCCATCTTGAATACAGAATGTCGGGGTTGCAAATAACAATGCAACTTCCTCTACTAGACTCCATCCATGTATATATTTTATCTGTCTGTTGAGTGTTGACTCTGTACATTTAGCTTAATCTAGGTTGGGTTAATTTAAAATAATTCAATGTTTGGTGGTATTATTTATATTGTACAAAAATCTGCACTGTATACTATAGTTTGTTGAAGGGTAATGCTGAGATTTTAATTAATGGGGGAATCCTAAACCTCTGTTGGGGGATAATTAGGCTTGATCCAAGGAATGAGAGGGTTAGGTCCAAGTCCTTGAATCAAGAGGCTTTCGGTATCCGGTATCCCACCTTTGAATTGAAGGTAGATTCTCTTCAATGATTTCTTATGCAATGGATTAATTTGGCATTCTTCTCTGAACTTTTTCTAATGAATTTATATCCATTCTAGAGTATAGAGACCAGAACTGAGCTGCATGATCTAAGTGAAGCTTTACCAATACATCGAGTTGTTGTATAACCTCAAGGTTTTTATGGATTTATTTTTTACCTGTTGATGGTACATCATCAAAAGGCTCCTTGGATCAAGAGCCCCTAATTTTTTTGCTCTCTCTAATAGCTGTATGTCTTAGACATACCTGACAGAGTTGAGACAAATATCCCACAGTTGATAAGAGATGCTAAAGATGTTTACTGAGACTGGCCTGTGAACCAGACTTGTTCACTCCACCTTAGTTTATCCACAGACAAAATGTCTTAAGTTTTTCTTTGAAGGCTGCTTGTCACAGCAGACCACTACTTCTGGAGAAGCTCACTGTACCTCTAGAAAGTCTTCACCCATGGAAGCACTCTCTGAGGACGGATATTAAAATATATTCATTCTTGTTAGAATTTATCGTTGTTGACATTGAAGAACATATAAAGTAACATTGAAGTGAACGTGATGAGTATCTTAATTTCATTTCATAACCCACACCTTAGAGTACCTCACTAGACTCACGAAATTGTAATACTACAATCTCGCGAGTCATGGTGAGAGGTTCAACCCCCTTCCATCCCATGTTTTTTTTTTTTCCTTGCTGCTGATGGTCTTATGACTTGAAGAAATTGAGCTATCCTTATTGAGGGGATTTTGATCCAAGGAACTGGACCTATGCTCCCTCTTGATTCAAACCTGAGTGCATCCCATTCCCCAGCTGCTGTATCAACTCTGTTACCTAGCATTTTTCACAATATAACATTAGTATTAAATTCAGAAATAAGTGTTAATCCCATGAAGAATAGAGTGCTAAGTTAGGAGTGTACTCAGTGTTGCACTCTGGTGGATTTAGCATTTAATTATGATTGTAGTAATAACTCCAAGTTGCAGCCTCAATTTCATTCTAGGGGATTTGAAATCATAATATGTGGCCTGGTGGCTAAAGCCTTCGCTTCACACACGGAGGGCCCGGGTTTGATTCCCGGCGGGTGGAAACATTTCGACACATTTCCTTACACCTGTTGTCCTGTTCACCTAGCAGCAAATAGGTACCTGGGTGTTAGTTGACTGGTGTGGGTTGCATCCTGGGGGACAAGGTTGAGGACCACAATGGAAATAAGTTAGACAGTCCTCGATGACGCACTGACTTTCTTGGGTTATCCTGGGTGGCTAACCCTCCGGGGTTAAAAATCCGAACGAAATCTTATCTTAAAAGAGAAAAAATTTGAAATGTGATTTTCAGTATGCATTTGAAATTACTTAAATTATCATATTTTCATATTCATTTTTGCAATGCACCGGCTGTCTCCCACCGAAGGAAGGTGACTAAAAAGAAAAGTGAAAGTTTGAACAAACAAGTAATTGCATCTGAGGGAAGCTTTAGCCCAATTAGATCCTTGTGGGTTTAGTGCTTAGTTTTGATTCCCCTCAAGGAAGGTTCCTTGATGTTGGTGAGGGGCTCTTGATTTAGGGAATTGGATCTGTGCTCCAGTTCCCCGAATTAAGCCTGAATGCCTTCCACATCCCCCCCCCCAGGCGCTGTATAATCCTCTGGGTTTAGCTCTTCCCCCTTGATTATAATAATAATAATAACTAGTTTTGATTGTTGTAATAATTTAGCCCAATTAGTGTGTTCCATGGTGTGCCACTGTGTATAGGGCAAGGGAATGGGGATGGGACTAGTGTGAATGTGAATTATGGTGCATTAGGTTAGTCAAAGTTAAAATGCCACAGTCCGAGTCTGTATTATAGTGAGACTTTCTCCGAGGACAGTTTATGCGAGTCAGGACACTAAAGGTGTCTTCAGTGAGGCCTGAGTCATTGATAAATAGGTCAGTATTAATTGACAAAGTGATGACATGCATTTTTAGTCCTTCCAGGTGTGAGTTGTATCTTTTGTATATTATCATAAGAGCACAGCTTCCCATATGTGCCAGCAACAGAAGGAAGGTGATCAGGAACAATTGTGGTTTGATGGAAAATGACTTGCTGGTTGATGATTTGAACCAATGTCATTGTCAGTGATCTCGAGGGTATTGAGAAAATACTGGTTGTAATCCTCCCTCCGTAAAAAAAAATGTAATTACCTTATGAGAGATTGTGGTTGTCTCACGATTGTAACGATCGTCATTCACCTTTGTCTTGTATCGAGATGGCTTTCAACCACGTATACTTCTGTCTCTACTGCTTCCCTTCCTTCAAGAGAGGTATGGTACCTTGATACCAGTGAAGGGCTCTTAATCTAAGAAACTGAACCTATCCTCCATATCCTTGGATTAAACTGGATTACCTCCCAGATGTCTATTTGTATACCTTTCTTGCACATGACCCTTATTAGTTAAGCATTTACCCCCATGTATGTGACAACATACATTGTTCAGGGTCTTCCAGTCTTTCCACGTATGACTTCATTTTTTATTTTCTCATACTGCACGTAATAGAACCTTCAAGATCACTGACAGTATTATTAATCTGAACTTCATAATCAAACCAGAATTGTATATCTGGCTATTGGTGTATTGTGGGAAACTGAGCACTTACTGCTCCAGACTAGGTGAGGAATACAGACATCTTGTAGAATTATAAGTGCCTCGGAGATAGTGATAGACTCGAGAAAATATACAATGTTGAGTTAAACATAAGAACATAAGAAAGGAGGAACACTGCAGCAGGCCTGTTGGCCCATACTAGGTAGGTCCTTTACAATCCATCCCATTAACAAAACACTTGAAAAAGCACAACCTCTGTAGTATGCTTTTTCAAGTGAATTTAGGATATCAAAGCCATTCTTGTATACATTATATATAGGGATGAGGGTAGTGCACTGGGTGAAGGTAGAACAGTGACTGGTGTATTTAAGTAAGGAACAGCACTCTTATGACCTTTATGGGCTTAGCAGTTAGTTATGATTGTA